CCTCCCCAGTAGAAGGTTTTGCTTATATTTCATTGATAATAAATAGTGCGCACAACACTGCTCGTCTCTACAGGCCTTCGTATTTTGCAAAGCATAGTTTCTGGCAGTCACCTCACCCTGGTCCTCTTGTTTCTAATCCCCCACAAAGGCCCACCTATCACCTTGCCTGAAGTCAGGACATATTAGGTGTGCAATGAACACTGGCTGAACACATGAAACTTTTATTGCGTGAACTTAAGATGGCTCAAACGCTACTGCTCTTCATTCTCAGGCTTTCCATGGCTTTCTGTGCCTCTCAAGGCACATTATCATGCGTTAGAGTCATCTGAGTCTCTTGCCCCATGAGACTGTGAGCAACTGAGTCATTACCTTGATATTCCCCATAGCACCTTGTACAAGGCCTCACATACTGAAGTTTCTTAATCACAGATTTCAAGAACAGCACAGGCCAGTACAAATGGAGGCGGCAGCCCATGCCCAATCCCAGGTGGCTGTCCCTCCTGCTCAGTGGACCACAGCACAGGATACCAGTACCTCTGTGATACGCAAACGCATCCGAGACTGCCTGGGAGGAAATCAAGATTAGTGCTAAGCCTGAAGTTTAGTGGCAGTGTGTGCGTGAGAGCATGGGCAGATGGGCCCTTATTCAAAAACGAGAAAAATGAAATCACTGGGTGGTGCTTTAAGTATGTGTTTCTGTATTGTCTAGCTTTTCTTCCTTGAACATGTTCTAATTTTGTAAGCAGGAAAACCCCCTACAATAGATGTTAGAAAAACAAACCAAAAGAAAATCCAGTGGGGATTTCAGACAAAATCACCAGTTCCTATGTTTCCATACTACAGTCTGAGGCTCCCATTCAGATCCCTCCCTGGAGAAACCCTTGCATTTTGTGAGGAAGAGTTCTTTCTCTCCATTCCTCTGAGGCACAGGGGACAGGAACACTCTAGAAATGAATGCTTCTACCCCCGCGGTAGCTGATAGCTCTCCCAGTGAGAGCTTCTGCCACTGCAGCAGGTGACAGCTTTCCCAATACAAACACTGGCAGAACTCTGGACCCCAGGAGCTGGAGAAGAGCATGGGGTAATGAACCAGCATAAAGCCAGGGCCTCATCAGAAGGGATCCACTGCCTGGCATTGTGTAGCCCCCTGCATGTTTCTCTTGCACAACTTTTCACATGCCATAGTAATCATTTTCTCACCTGCCATCTCCCCCGATGCACCACAAGACCCATGGCTGCTTCTTTTTAGTCATCCTATTCCTGTAGTCCAGTGCTTAGTATGAGAAGGCTCTCAGTACATATTTGAACCCAGGGCCTCACACATGCGAGGCAAGTACTCTACCAATGATCTATATCCCAAACCCTCAGTATACATCCAGATGTGGTAGAGACCACGTCTACAAAGTGATACACATAACTGATACAAGATTCTGACATAATAAGAATGCATTAGCCACCAGATGCTTCCTTTGTGGCTTGAAGATCCATTATTCAGTCCTGAAGAGTCAAGTGGAATCCAGTAATTTCTTGGAAAACTAACAAAACTTCTTTTCTGAGAAATGTAGGCTTTCTCCGGTAAGAATGGATGCATTTTAATCGCAATTCAGAATCACTTGGCATCATAGCTAACTGCAGCTTCCAAAGAAACTGCTCCTTGAAGGAGTGATGCTCAAAGTATTCATATGGCATTGCTGAAGGATTTCCAGGAGCTAGTGAGCTCAGCCTTGGGCTCTATTAATAACCTGTGACAAGGTGTATGTGTAAAGCTTGCCACCACTTTCCACTGGGAAATGGCTAGGCCTCCAAGGTCCAAGCACCAGAGCTTCACCTCCTCACTACCCCTAGGAAGACAGGTGACTTTTTGATTATCCAGCATCTCAAGATGCTGGGGGTCTTGAGGGAGGAGGTGCCACCTTCCTATGCACAGGAGCATGGCTGCTTGCATGGCAGCAGCTATCTGTCTGCAAAGGGCTTGATCACTGGGGAAGACAGCAGCTTTAAGATATCTTTTAAGATAGTAAGGGGCTGTGAACCCTCTGCTAACCATGGCTTTAATTCAAACAGTTTCTAAATAACACATTCCTCTGAGGATTAGGGTTTCTTGCAGCTTTAAAGATAAAAAGTCCTGGAAAAGAAAAAAAGATAAGAGTCCTAGGCAGGGGGATGGTTTACTGGTAAGTGCTGGGTTTAATTCCCAGCACCACAAAGAAGAAAGAAAATAAAAAAGGAAGAGAGGAAGGCAGGCAGACAGGCAGCGAGGAGAGAGAGGGAAAAAGAGAAAGAGGAAAAGGCAAAGGAAAAAAAGGAAAGGGGAAGGAGAGATAGATATGTTGAAGCCAGGCAGACAGCCATCCCCTAATTAACATCAAGGCTATATAGCCATCTTGACCTTGCAGCAGTAACAGCCTGTTTAAGTCAAAAGAAGGCAGGTCAGGGAGGCAAAAGAAGGGGTCTCCCTCCCCTGCTCCCTCTCTTATGCTAAACTGGAAACTAGGAAAGGTAGGTTTAAGTTAAAGGTAAGATGTGTCTCCTTTGTGCCAGGCTTTCTCCTAGGCCCTGTCACAGGGATGAGCGAAGGAGACAGAAAGACAGGGTACCCATGGTCTAGGGAATTGCAATCATGCTGATATGTAAGTGTAGTTCAGGTAAACTCTAGAAAGGAGTTCAAGCTAATACTGGAACACTTCATGGAGATTTACTCCCAGCCAATGGAGTTACATATGATAATCCTGACATCCAATGTGATATAAAGGGTCGAACACATACAGTCTACCACTTAAGAGGGGATCAATACTGTTCATTTTCTTTCACCTTCCTCTCACTGTCTTATTTTTCCATAGCTGACACAAAACACCTAAGACCCAAAGTTAAGGGAGGAAAAGTTTATTGCAGCTCACTTGGTAGAGGTTTCACTTCATAGCTGGCTGTTCCAAGATGGGGTGGCATGGCAGAGAGGCCTTGAAGAGAAGGCAGCAAGACAGCGAAATAGCGAAACAGCAAGCAAGCACAGGTGGCAAGCAATGACAGCAGCTTCCTTCTTTCTGGCCCTTAAATCCATTCTATCCAGGCAACCCCCTTAGGGCAGGTAACACTCACACCCAGGGTGGGGGATCCTTAATCCTAGCCTCACAGGATGAAGCAATCCCAGTATCACATCCTTGATTCTAGCATCACATCTCGGATCCAGCCACCTCCAAAAAGCCCTATCTGTGGTACATAAGGCTGGGTGGGGGAGAGGCATCTAGATACAGAATGCTCCCCAAGTACGCACGCTTTGTGAGCACACACATGCACAACCACTGACACTTCCCCCCTCTATCTTCAGAAACACTAAGCCTATTTTAGCAGATAAGGTTTGGATTTTTTGGTGGGTTTTTGTTGTTGTTGTTGTTGTTGTTGTTGTTTTGGTTTTTTTGCGGAGCCAGGGATTGAACTCAGACCCTTGCGCTGTCCAGGGAAGCTCTTATTCTACTGAGCGATCTCCCCGGCTCTAAGTCTATTTAAGAAATGAAAATTCACAAGTAACTTAATACTGCCTATTTTATGTCTCTTAATTGTCCTACAGATACCAGTTTTTAACCACTCTGGGACACTGAAAACCTAGGGCTATTAGGGTCTGGCTCAAAGGAGAAAGAACTACAGATGATTCATTCCAAGCTGAATTTGGAAATATGATACATCTAAGTTTTGTCCTCTCTTTTTGGTACAAATGAGGAAACTGAGAGCCAGAAAGTATAGAACACTTGCCCTAAGGTCACACAATTCATGGGGTGATCCTTCTAATATGTGGTAGCCTCTGTCTCTGTCTGTCTGTCTGTCTGTCTGTCTGTCTGTCTCTGTCTGTCTCTCTCTCTCTTTCCTTTTCTTCCCTTTTAAACCAAGGTGTTCATACATGCCAGCGAGTATTCTACCACTGAGCCACATTTCCAATTCTGCCTTGTGTTTTTCAAAGCTTAAGTATTTTTCCTTTAACTATAACTTTTCAAATGTATTCAGCCTGCTAAGAGAGGAAACAGGCCACAGCATCCTGCAACCAGTTTCAAGCCACCTGAGAGCTCTCAGCTCCGGGACCTCCAGGAAGGGTCCAGAGGCAACGTGGCCCTCCTCTCCCTAAACAGAGTGGCTTGCTTCATCTACATTCCTGAAAATAGACACCAACGAACAGAATGCCTCAAGACTTGCATACTGTTTATTTCTTAGGCTTCAAGATCGAATTTTAAAAAGAAAGCAATAAAAGGATCATAAGCCAAAGTTAAAATTTTTATTCCTTTTCATTTTGAAGTTTTCCACACTGCCTCTGCAGTATGTGATACAACAACCTCATGAAATCTAACCATATATGTACCTGAAATTTAACATAGCAATTTTAGGTTTGTGAGAAGACTGGGGAATTTTCACTTTCAGAGAGATTTCTTCGCAGAAGGTGTAAAAATTTTGTACTATCTTTGTAATTAAAAAAATTAAGGTCTACAAGCACCAATTTCTAAGAGAGGATTTACTTCTTCACCTATATTTGGGAGACAGAACTGCTTTTAAAACAGGTAGGTGGTGTGCACACCTATAATTCTAGTACTCTGGGAGGTTGAGGCAAGAGGATTATGAATTCAAACCTAGGCTGGGCAACTAGCAAGACCCTGTCTCAAAATAAAAAAATAAAAATTTTTAAAAGGGCTGGCAACACAGCTTAATGCGAAGGCCCTGGGTCAATCTGCAAATGGAAAAAACAAACAAACAAAAAGGCTTATTTTAAAACTCCAGATTCTCTGTCAAAGTCCTTGGGGTAAAAAAGTAAACCAACATTTGAATGAAGCCCATTTGTAATGAGAGGCTCCACTTCTAGCCATAGGCAATTTCAGAGAAAGCTGTAATTTAGAGCAAATTCACATATATCATAATATAAAAATAGACCCTCTGTGACCAACGGGCTGGAAAGCACGCTCTCCAGAGAGCTCTGCCCCTCCCTGGAGCTGGAGGCAGAGGGCTGGCACAGTTCTACTCACAGAAGCAAAGTTCCTCAAAGTCCAGATGTCCTTGTCACAAGTGGAGGTAAAGTTAAGAAATCAGGATTCAAGATGAGTAGTCCAAACAGGCAGTGTGGCAGCAGTCTCTCCTGGTCTTTCCCTCTCTCTGTGTGTCTCCTAAATGAAAAGCACTTAGGTTTTAGTGGGTGTTTCCCACGTCCCGGGCCAAGTAAGTCCCCATTTGTTGTAATCCAATGCTCAGCCTGATGATGTCAACCACTCAACTCACTTGCTCAATTTCAAGCGCTCTGTCCATGGGAGAGATCCATTTCCTTAGGACAATGAGCCCGGGGGCTATAACTCACCCCATGCCCTTCTCATTTGCCTAACATCCTTCCTTCAATTTTCAGCCCTGCAGCATTAGTGACAAAAGGCTTCCTACTCACTCACCCAGGCTCCCAGCAGAGATCCATCTACTTTAATAACTGACAACTAGGCTATCTAGTTTGCTTCACTGTGTTTTAATTTTTTATATCAGAGAGGATACCTTCACCCCAGATTGTGCCCATCTCTTTCCTCTCTTCTCAACTCTCCAATTCTTTCCTTTCTCTGGTTCCCTAGGTACAGGGAGAAGACAAGCCCCAAGGGAATCAGCGCTAGCCTGTTATCTGAGGTACCACCCCTGGCCACCCTCTTGAAGCAATGAATGGGCTCAAGCAAGTCATCATCCAGTCTGGACCTCAGCTTCCTTAACAGTGAAATGATGCCCTGAGTGTTTTCCCATTCTGCAAGTCCATGACTGAAACCAGTGCTGGGAGCCTACCCAGGTGCTGGCCTCCATCGACAGATCCTTAAAGTCCCTTTACAATGAAGCTGAAATGTTTCTCTGGGAGGAAACTCAAAAGAATTCACTGAACAGTTCCAGGGGATCTAAAAAAAGAGGCAGCATAAACTACTAGATAAGATAAACAAGAGCATGTAACAGTCCTTGGGGACCCACAAGGAACAGCAGTGGTGAGGAGATAAAAATGTCTTGCAGTGGCTGAGGGCTCTACAGTACAGACGCGCAAACCGCTCTGCACCTGCGTACGGCAGGAAGCAATGAGACACACAGCAATCAGGAGCCAGATGCGGGTTTGTGTCCTGGGTGACTTCTCTCTCTGAACTTCAGTTTTCTTAATTATAAAATGGGATCCATGCGCCTATTTTCAAGAACTGTGAGAATTAAATAATGCATGAGGGAACTGAAAATATATGATATATATGGACTAAGAAACTGAATAAATGCTAACTCTCATTGCTGTACATAATCACATTTGATTCTTATAATCCCCCAAGGAGAATTAGATGCTAGGGGCTACATGATTAATCTCTTTCCTAGGAAGGAAAATGAAGCAGAGAAGTGACATGCAGCTCAAAATGAAAGGGCCAGAATTAGATATTAAGACTCATAACTCCTAACTAGGTCATCACATATGCCAATCCTCTTTCTCAAAATGGTGATTCCAGCCACCCGGTAAAGGAAATACTTCAAGCCACTCAGTCAGAGGGGCACTACCTTATTTTGCTACCAAAATACAGGGTGGCCTACCTAGAGTCTGGCTTCAACTACCTCTCCCCTAAAAGGGCAGATTTGATATTTGTTGAAGTTATTCTTTTTCGTATTATTTTTTTATGATGTATTTGGTACAGGGTCTTGCTATGCAGCTCAGACTCATACTGATTGCCTGTTCTCAGCCTCCCCAGCACTGGGATTGCAGGCATCCAACACGCCCCATCTTTGTTGAAGTTAGTTTTATGAGGATGGGAAGTAAAGACTGGAACTCTTCAAGGAAGCAGGGTTTTGTTGTGCTTTTGTTTTTTGGTGGTACTGGAGATTCAATCTAAGGCCTTAAGCAAATCAGGGAGGTGTTCTACTGCCCATACTTATTTTTAAAAATCTTTAATTTTTATTTTGTTTAGCTTTTTTTTTTTT